TTTTGAGTGTTTTGCAATCATTTCAGACAATGCATAGCTTGCACGAACAGCAGATTCATTTTCTTGCATAGGGCGCGTAAACATTAATTGTTGATTCTTTAATTTTGACTTCAGTTCTTTTAATTTTTCACGTCGAAGCAATCCCTCATACTGATCAAACTTGGTTTTGTGCTGCTCATAATGCCGTTTAATATTATATAACTTCGAGACCCCAATTGTACTATTGCAAATTAAGCAAATAATTTTCTCTTTTACTTCACAACAAAAAAATTCTAATTCCCATTTTTCTTGAAAGATACGATGTTCATCTGTTATTTTTCTCTTACTGCCACTTGGTTTTGAAAGAGACATTATTATTTGCAACTCGATTTACAAATTATTTGTAATATCTATCTAACAATTATAAAAGTAGTTTGACGATATTAATTTCAATAAGCAACACTACTGTTTAACTCTGACTGACCAGACCAGACTGACTCAAGTCCACTCAATCTGTACACAACAGTACAAAAGCGCGCACACGCAGTGAGGGATCGCCGAACTCGGGCGAGATTTATCGACAGCAAATTCTATGTAATTCTATTTTTACCCTCTGTACGTGTAAAGTTTACTGTAATTAAACAATGGCGGGCCGCATTAATAGACTTTACATACAAATGTCATTGGGCCGCAAATATTGTCGCATGGGGCCGCATGCGGCCCGCGGGCCGCATGTTTCACATGGCTGTTCTACGTTAAGACCGATATGAAGATATCTTTACCACTTACTTTTCCAAAAATTGGAAGAATTGGTTGAACACCATGATCTCCAACGGATTCTCCACCTGCACGACGGGTTGAGCAGCCATCATGGTTGGAGTTGGAGGAAAAATAATGTACACACGGGCAATAAACAAAGTCTCTGGGGAAATAAAGTCAACACAAGGGCACAAGAGTTAAAAGTCAATCAGTCCAGTCACAGGGGAAATAAAGTCACACAAGGGACAATCAATTCACAAAGACACACTAACAAAAGGGCGCAAGAGTAAACGTTGCAATGCACAGCACAGTGTAGAGCAGAATGAATTGCTCCCTCTAAACAACATTACCAGTAGTTGGCCATGAAAAGTAGGGGGGCACCTACCTGTTTCAAGAATGAGGACCAGTTCAATTTCAATAGGGTATTCTTCTCATGACCTTAGACCCGTCTTACACGAGCAATAAATATGTCCCTATTTCTGAATTTAATTGTGTTGGAAAGAATATGGTGCGTGTAATACACCGATTATAACCATAAAAAAAATTTTGTCCATAAAAATAGAACGTGTTCTATTTTTGTGTGCATAATATGCGCAAACAGCATGCGCAAACTGTGATCCTAGGATATTGTTTATCAAAGTAATTGAAAATTGAAATTCATTAAAAAGAAAATAGAGTATTTGTTTGTCTTCAGGTCTGTAGTCAATTAATCGAAGTATCTACCTAGTTGTAATTTGAATATAATTTTAAAGTATGGAATTTGACGAATACACATTGTATAGTATTGCATCAGTGGCAATTTATACAAATATGCTAGCCCTAAAGTTCAATACACGTCGCAGGCGAAGAGTTTGGTCAAGAAAATGGCATGAAAGAAGGAATATGGGAATGGGGATATTACATATGTTAAATGACGAGCTACTACAAGAAGACTCTGCAGCATATAAAAACTTTTTACGGCTAACTAACCACCAATTTGAAAAACTGTTGCGATTGGTAGAACCACATATCAGTCGCCAAGATACTGTTATGAGGCAATGTGTTTCAGCGAGAAGCAGGTAAAGAAAATGCTGATTGAAAGTGGTATATATTTTAGACATGTTATTCAGGCTTGAACTTACGCTTCGCTTTCTTGCAACCGGAGAGTCTTACCGTTCGTTGATGTATTCTAGTAGGATACATGAATCAACCATTTCTCTATTCATTCCTGAAGTTTGTGAAGTCATATTTAATGTTTTAAAAGATGAGTTTTTAATGGTAAAGTTTTATTTTATCAATTCTCTATATATGTGCGTTTATCTTAGATTGGAACATACGATTTTGCATGCAATGTTATTTCCCTATGTTCCATTTTAAAAAAAACGCATCAACCTGAAGGATATGCGCGGTTCACAACTAAAACAAACGTATTAGAAATTTGCGAGTCACATTTGAACCAGCCTTTATTTTTAGGTTATGTACGTGTACGGTCGAAAGTCGAAGAAAAATTGTTTAATAATAAATAAAATGAATTTAATTATAAGTTATAACAAATGTTCAAAGTGCCCTCCTTCACATTCCAAGCAGTACCCTAACCGATTGCGAAATTCCTGAATACTATTTCGTAAAAACGTAGGATTCATTTGATCACATGCTGTTAGTATTCGGGTTTGTAACTCTTGCACATTCTGAATGGGAACATGATTATAAATTTTCGATTTTAGATATCCCCAAAGGAAAAAGTCATTTGGCGACAGATCGGGAGATCGTGCTGGCCAAGATATTGGACCAAATCTACCGATCCAACGGCCCGGGAATGTTTCATTGAGGAAACTTGTCACTGGTCTCGTAGAATGTGGTGGAGCCCCGTCCATTTGAAACCATGGGTTGTTTATATTCAACTCCTGTAACCGTGGAATAATGCGCGATCTAAGTAATTCGAGAAACTTTGTTGAATTTAGAGTTCCATCGATGAAGAACGGTCCGATTAGAATATTGTTTATTATCCCGGCCCAAACGTTAATTTTAATATTATATTGCGTATGCGTTATGTTGTGTACATGATTATTAGTTTGTGACCAATATCTAATGAAGAAAACGGTATCAGTAAGATTTAATATGGAGATAGGTACCTACCGATAGTTTTGAGAATTTACTGTACCGTTCAGAGACAAAGATGCTTCATCTGTAAACATTATTTTGTGCAATATTTCCTCATTATTGTTTAACAAATTAAATATTGTTTCGCAAAAGTCTGTGCGTTTTATTTTATCATCATCAAACAGTTGTTGGTGATTTTGAAATTTGTACGACTTGTATTTAAATTTCTTTAGCGTTTTAAACACGGAAGTTCTAGAAATTTCAAATTCCTTGGCCATTAAACTTAGTGATGCTGTTGGGTTTTCTTCAGCATAGCACAAAATTTCTAATTCCAATTCTTCATTAAGGACATGGTTAATTTTTGCCTTTTTTGTGTGAAGATTTGCAACACAGCCATCCCTATCAAATTTTGCTATAACTCTGTGGATCGTTGAAATGGATGGTATTTGTTCGTCAGGATACTGGACTGCAAGTAAATCGCGGACTTGTCTTGTACTGTTTAGGCCTTTGTATAAATTTATAATTGCAATTTTCATTTCTTTAGGCAGCATTTTTGAATTTATTGCAGGGCGGTAGATTTAAAGGTGACAGTAGTACATTGCGCCTACTACCCATTTGAACTACTCCTTCAGGTTGATGCGTTTTTTTTAAAATGGAACATAGGGAAATAGCATTGTATGCATAATCGTATGTTCCAGTCTAAGATAAACTCACTGTATATCTCTTCTACATTACAGACTCCATCTACTCCCGAAAGTTGGCAATCAATTGCTGATCAGTTTATGGAACTATGGCAATTTCCTCAATGTGTAGGGGCGCTTGACGGACGTCATATTACATTTAGACCTCCAAAATCGGCTGGATCATTTTACCACAATTACAAAGGGGATCATTCACTAGTATTATTGGCATTGGCCGATGCGTGCTGCAAATTTACATACATTAACATTGGTGTTAATGGTAGAATAAGTGATGGTGGAGTGTTTCGTGATTGTACTCTGTCAAAAGCAATTCAAAACAATTCGTTAAATTTTCCACAATCTCGACCATTACCAGGATCCAGTAACAATGTTCCATATGTGATAGTTGCAGACGACGCATTTCCACTGTCCACAAGAATATTAAAACCTTATCCACAACGAGGTTTATCTCACGACAAGAAGATATTTAACTATCGGTTATCAAGGGCACGACGTATCATTGAACATGCATTTGGTATTCTTGCCAACAGATTTAGAGTATTGTTAAATCCGATATGTCTGTCACCAAATAAAGTAGAAAAAATTACTTTAGCTTGTGTGGCACTACATAACTATTTATGTACAAATAGTGGACAATTTTATACTGATTTTGACGAAGCATCAATTATCACATTGGATACATGGAAACCACAGGGAACAAATCGAACTTCCAGATCAGCATTATCTGTGAGGGATGAATACAAAAATTACTTTTGTTCTCCTACTGGCAGTGTAGAGTGGCAGGATGCAGCAGTTTTAAGACACAATTGTTAATCATACAATTTGAATAAGTGTATATATATGTATATAGGATCACTCAGATTTTATTTGAAATTCTTGGAAATTATATGTACAATATCGCTTTCTATTTTATCTAACAAATCGTCATTCTTGATGCGGCGTAATTTTGGTTCAATGTACTTAAGAAAGACATCAATCCTATCCGCCTTGATAGTGCTAACATCAGGCTTCTTGCGTGCAACTGCATTAGCAATTTCATTTATCGCTCTGCTGGCATCTGCTAAATAGTCGATTTCATTCCCCTTTTTTCTCTTTAGTTGAGATTGTGGTCGGCTGGTTTGTGGCGTCTGTTCAATTACATGCACATTTGAGGCGCCTCCATTGACAGGTTCCTAAAGTACATTTATTTACCGAAACATTATACTTATTGACAAATATAAGGAAATACCTCTTCAGTTTGTGAATCGTCTGGTTCGTCTTCATAAACAACCTCTAATTGTGAAATGTCCGTAAATTCCAACGATTCAATATTACTGTCTGATGAAAGAGAAGGTGAAAGAGGCTTGGGGATGCTATCATAAATGGCTGTCTTTGCAATTGAATGCTCCAAAACAAACAGCATTAAATCATAATACCAAATGGTAGGTATATACACCTTAAAACATACATTTTTAGAACTATACGATTTGTTGCAATGTAGATTTGCATTTACCTGGTCTGTACCGCTTCCACTTTTCATGGAGTTTTCGTGTTTACGATATTCCACTAAGAAATTTTGTCGAAGAGCTGCAAACTTATTTTTTACATCTGCAATCGTTACACCTGCTTTCACTGCCTCCAACTTTGAACAGATGTCTGTTAAGGCAGCATTTCTCGCATGCTTGTTTTTGTATTGTGGGGATTTAACCACATACAAGCAAGGGTGATTTTTGTACACTTCAATGAGCATGGTGACCTGCTCTCTTGACCACGACATTTATTAAAAGATTGTTATTTGCTACCATCACAAGAAATTGCTTATTGCACAAAACCGTTAATAGTGACAGAGAATAGTGAAAACTGAATGTGATATATTATTTTTGGTTATGTAGTATGTACATTGCTGCCATTCAAAAAAATCCCTAGATTTCCAACAGCTGAATACAGAATTTCCCTATATTTTTTATCATAATTATATCCATAGTTTGACAACGTGTAAAGGGCGGTATAGTTCTCGTAAACATAATTTTAAGAACACAAATATACTTCAAATTTTTATCACAATTGTGGCCATAATTATGACTCGTGTAAGACGGGTCTTAGACAACATTCTTTCTATTCATGGCCTTTTGGGGAATGAGAATTTCTGCACAGGAATTTATCCCTGTAGCTCAGCCACAATTTTTCTTTATATGTATAATTTTGTTAATTTTCAAATAAAAATGTTAAAGTTGTGTATTATTAATGGTGTTATATTGCATACGAGTCAGCCAGCTCGATGCATTTGACCAGATGTGATAAAAATAAAACAGTCAAAAGTTGGCGTTTTTTCATACCCCCGGGTATGCTGAAAGCCAAAAAATTCTAACTTTTTATTTTAAGAGATATCGACTTGAAATTTTTTTTGGGTCCGTAGACTATGTAAATGGGGTGCTCTGAGCCCAAAAATGATTGGGGGTGGGGGACCCACCTGTAAGTCAAAATGGCAAATATAGTCAAAAATCCGGAGGTGACCCCGTTTAATCGGGCCTGGCAAAGTTATTTAGCTAGGGGGTTGGTTGATGGCTCGTTGGAAAGAGGAAGGATCAAAGAATCTACAGTAAAAATTCAGCCCGATCAGCCCCGTGGTTCCGGAGATTTCCTAACCTAACTTTGGACCGACGCCAAACCGGAACCGGAAGTCGAAAGTGGCTGAAGTAACAGAGTATTCCTTGAACCTTCCTCTTTCCAACGAGTGGTAAACGAACCCCCTACCTCGATAAATAAACTCTGCAAATTTTTTAGCGAGGTCATCTCCGATTTTTTTAAGTTTTCGAAATTTTTGAGTGCCCAAATGGCCTCCCAGCTCAACACGGACGTCAAATTCGGATTCCTCGCACGCGATTTACTCTAAGAACAAATTGTCGCTCGAATCCGAGAGATTGACCAAACTGCGAAATTTTCGCTCAAAGTTCCATCTTGCAACTCACCTTAGACACATTCCTCTTTCTAAAGCGGCATTCAAATCTACACAAATTTTGTGGTGAAAATTTGTAGTCCATATTTTTGTGGTAACTTAACCACATCCGAGTTCTAACCTAAACTAAACCATTGATTATAAGATGTCAGAACTCGGAAAGGAACGCACAAAATTGGGCATTTTTAGAGGAATAAAATAGGTATATGTTAATAATAAACAAAATCTTTATTTTGTTTTTTTTTTTCTTATTCTAGTAGGTCTCATGACCGGGGGTTCAGCTGGGGGCGAAGGAGCGGTAGAGGATGAAGGAGTTGCGGTAGAGGATGAAGGAGTTGCGGTAGAGGATGAAGGAGTTGGGGTCGGGGGTCGTGGAAGCTGAAGGAAAAGAAAAAGGGAGTCCTGGGCCAATCCGAACAGTTCGTCATCGGACTCCGTGGACAGCACGGCATCTAAAGTCAGTCGGAACTGCTTCCGACGCCGCAGCCGCTGGAATGCGATGACGGACTGTTCGGAAAACTGCTGGAGCCCTCTGAACATCTCCCCCATTATGGTGCGCAGCACTGCTACGTTTGGTCCCCCGTTTGAGTTTGGCAGTAACTCGACGTCCACTCCTACGTGGAACGCCACGTAGCACAGGTCAGCAACAGGAGATGCCACGTAGATGTTGGTCTTCAGCCGCTCGAAGTGCTGCCGGATGATCTCCTCCAGCTTGCTCCGCTGCTGAAGATTGCTGCGTCCACGCCAGAACCCCCTGAAGACCGCCCCGTACTCCACCTCCTCCAAACGGGTACAAACGTAGCAGCTGCTGCAACTGCTGGAGACGCTGGGGTTGAAAGAAGATGTCCTGCATTTTATATTCAGTTTTTGTTAATTCGTTTCTTTATACTCACTGGAAGTTCCATTGCAGAGAGGTTGGAAGAAGAGGGAAATGAATTTGTAGGTTAGGTTACAATAACCGTTATTTAGGTATTTTAGGTATTAAATAAAATTGATGTTTATATTCTCGAGGGCGCCATCGGAAGTGGCCCAAATTTTTTTACACGTTTAAAACCGGCCGGACTTGTACTTTTTCGTACCCCGGTGCATAGGAAAAAAGTCAAAAAAGTCAACTTTTTTATTTTTTGAGATATCGACTTGAAATTTTTTTGGGTCCGTAGATTACGTAAATGGAGTGCTCTGAGCCCAAAAATGAACTCAGATTGGGGGTGGGGGACCCCCCTGTGAGTCAAAATGGCAAATTAGTCAAAAATCCGGAGGTGACCCCGTTTAATCGGGCCTGGCGAAGTTATTTATGAAGCTAGGGGGTTGGTTGGCTCGTTGGAAAGAGGAAGGTTCAAAGAATCTACAGTAAAAATTTCAGCCCGATCGGTCGGGTGGTTCCCGAGAAAACCTAGCCAGACTTTGGACAGATGCTGTACCGGAACCGGAAACGGGAAGTGGCTTTCAAATTTCTCAACATTCCTACCAAAACCTTACAACCAACCTTTTTTAGAATTTCTTTTTATTTTACATTTTTTTATACATTTTCTTTTGACATTTTGGAACACATTTTTATTTTACATTTTTACAGAACTACTTTTTTTTTACATTTTATTACACAAGTTTTTTTACATTTTATAGAACATTTTTTTTTCCTCAACCACCACCTTATTACATCACCATGACCACTCCTGTACATGTAAGTTAAACTGTTTTAACATAAGCTTCTTCTGAATCAGATTCAACGGTCGTTGAAGTTCTAGGGTATTCATTGGTTGAATCAATTTGAGCCCACTCATGTAATATGAATGTAATGTAATATTAATCGATCATGTGTGGTCTCTTATAACCAGATCCCCTTTGTCATCGGCTTTTCGTTTAAGGTTTCTTCCTGCTTCCTGAACTCGTTCTTGAATAGCTTCTGCGGTCTATCTTCACGTCACCTAGTACATTTGTACCAGTTAGAGTAGTCTCAAAATGAGAAGTACATCGTGACGTCATCACTTTCTGCGCGTATGGTTGCCACCAGTGGCGTATCATAGGATATTTAAATTGAGGTTTGAAAGTACATTTGCTGTGTGAAGCATTTGAAATGCACTTTATTAATTTTATAAAATAAATGTATGTAGGTGTAATTATGTACAGTGCAAAGTATCGTACAAAAGCTTACCTATGATATAATACAAATTGAATAAGTACAATTCATCACTAATATGTAACATTATGTATGTATGTAATTATAATATTATTGAAATGCACATAATTATCTGAAACCTCATTCCACTGAACTAGAACTTTCATCACTATCGTAATCGTCATCATCTGATGAATGGCTGCAAATTTCTCTTGAGCCAAAGTTTGCACATCTTGCAGTTTAAATGTCACGTTTCTGGCTGCAACCCAATTTTTTACTATTGCCCATATTTTTTCGATCGGGTTCAGTGCTGGGTGATAGGGTGGCAATCTGAGCACTCGATGGCCATGTTCGAGCAGTAAAGCATCAAGCTCATACCTTTTGTGGGCCGGTTTCTGTATTTTTATTATGTTATACAATTCTGGTTTAGTTAAATCAGAATCAAATGGGATATTTCTTTCTATCAGCCATTTTATCATCTCTTTTTAAAGTGGCAGAAGTAGGATGTTTTTCTAAAGTTGTGTTGTGGTACGATGCATTGTCAATTACAAGAACGGATGGTTTATCCAAATTTGGAAGGAGTTGATTTTTTACCCAGGTGAAGAAATTGGTAGCATTCATGTCGTCATGGTAATCGCCTGATTTTAAGCCTACAAAAACTAATTTGTGTTAAGATACAAAAAACACACACAATCCTTACCAGATCGAAACATAAGTAGGGCATTTGGAATAAATCCATTTGCACCACCAGCATGGACCATAATTAAACGTGGGCCTTTCCCAATAGGTTTTCGAAGACCAAGTAAACTGTTGTCGGACCATTCTTTAGATTGTGTGTGCGGTGTAAACAATTTGTTTGACTTCCTTTTTATACTGGGATAACTGTCGATCTTCCTTTTTTCCTTAACAATGCTCCGATACGTTTTGTCGGAAATTTGAGTAGCAGCAAGAAGTCGATCCTTGAAACGAGTGACAGGAATAGAGAGACTTCCATTTTCAGCTTCCATTTGCATGAAAGTCAACACATTTGCAATGATTTCTCGTGCTTGACTATGAATTATCTTCCCTTTTACACCAACTTTTCGAGAAGATGGTGAGATGGTGTTGCCATTATCCCAGTTAACTGAAATAAAGAAAAATAGTTTTATTTCCGCAACATCCTGTATACCACAACTCTTAAGAATCACACAGACCAAAACTGTCTCGCTCAGGCTGGATAGAAGTCGAGTTGTAAGACATGCTTTTTCCGTACACAAAGGCAACGAAGCACACTCGCTCCGACTCCTACTGTCTCGCCTCGGAGACCGAGTTGGTGTATTTTATTGCATTCATTTACATGAAAACCAAATTTATTAATGTTGTACAGTACTTATCGATTAACTGAACAGTTTTAAAACAAATTCTGGCAACTACTTTAAGAATTTAATTAATAATTCAAGGGATGTAAGCATGAGTATAACCTCAATTTTGGTATTGCATTAAACGTTCAATACTTACGTAAATGTACGCCAACAACTGCCGGGTAGCTCTGAAAAGAACTTTTCTTGAATTAACACAGGAAGAAATGGTCACACAAGGAAAATATTACAAAAATAGAAGCGAACTTGCACACGAAATCACGAACGGCAATGCACAAATGTCAACGCGCGCGCTCCCCTTAGGAGCTATCATGGACTCTCCCGGACACATTTTCATGCTTTGCGCAAATGGCGTCACGATGTACTTCTCATTTTGAGATTACTATAGTAGTAGTGATATAAGCCCGATTCTAACTCAAAAAGTCACTAGATGTGAAAAAAGTCACTAGAAGAGTAACTAAGTTTGAAACTCTGCTCAAGGCCACTAGAGGTTTGAAACTCTGCTAGTGATATACGAGCCGATTCCAACTCAAAAGTCGCTAGAAAAGTAACTAGGTTTAAAACTTTGCTATTCTCATATAGTGGATTCGTCTTATGGGTATTGTTCATATTGATTGATTATCGATTTCGGTTACTCACGCTAAAGGTTATTCACCTCATGCTCTTTCTGTGTTATTGATTGATTATCGATTTCGGGGTCATGGCAACATGGTTCTGATTTTTGCTAATTCGTGGGTTCATTTCTTCACTAAAGTCAAGTATAAAGGACACGAGTGAACGTTGTACAAGACATTTCTATACTGGCATCAGAGAAAAAATGACAAAAGTAATGATTGCAGAAGATCCCGAAGACCGCCATCGAAGAAAAATCGCATAGACGAAAGGAGGATTAAAAAATTCAAGTGGGACCTGGAGGTGTTTGAAGTGCAGCGCAAATTAAGTAGAGTACGACTGCATACAAAGAAAAATCTGCAATGAAATTTTCTCGCTCACACGCAAATGCTCGTATATGTGTATGTGTACTTAATTTGTATTATTGCAGGCATATCGTAAAAAAGAAATAAAAGATATCTTCACGTTGATCTTATTATGTATGTTTAGTTGCTTAAAACCCGAAAAAATGTTCATACAAGCACCTCTCCCATGTCCCCCCCCCCCCAGCCTCGTCCTTATATGCAACTTAGTACGCATTACCGTAAGATGGATGATGGATTGATCTGCGTTCGGTTCTTTCTCACACTTTCAGTTAACCTTCCTTCCTTATTTATATGCAGCTTGGTATGCTCTACTGTAAGAGGTATAGCTTTTGAAAAGGCGTGCATTCGTGCATTTCTTTTGACGGCTGCAAAGTTTTCTTAATTTGATCGTTTTCCACGCACCCGGCTAAAGTCGTTTGTCTTAAACTCTTACACCTTCACCTCACAACAACAAAAACAGATAAGTTTTTTTTATTTGTTAAAAAATTTATAAATTTTTGACAATTACTTTTCTTTACAAATTTCATGAATTCTTCAATAAATTGGAGTTCTGTCTCCATCCGCCTTTCTTCTTTGGATGAAGCATCTAGTTTTTTTCTTAACTCGGTGGTTGTTGGTCCGAGCGTCAATAAGTTTTGCTCGATAAAAAGTATTATATTAAGTACCGGGTGATTCATTAGAAGTGATGAACGCTTGAATTTCGCGCGTAAGGTTTTAGTATTTTTGACATTATTAGATTGACGGTTTGAATTTTGTTAGTAATTTTTATCTGTCATGACTGTCATTTAAGAAACCAGTGTCGCCGTTAATTGTTGTGTGCCATTTGCGGTTTATTACTTTTTCCATTTTGAACAATTTTTAGAGTTGATGCACTAAAATATGTAAGAAACGTGACTGTGTCTAGTGTTAGTTTATAATTTGTGGTAAAACAGAAGCAGTATTTGTAGATTATAAATAAGTAAACGATTTACTGAAAGCATGATGATACACCACTGCAATTAAATAAATGATCATCAGTTTGTACCAACTTCATAATTTTTTTGATTTGCGGGAAATTCAAATTGTCCTCACTTCTAATGAATCACCCGGTATAAATATGCACAAACCTATAAACTTATTTTTTAGTTTTAACAAATTTGAGGAAGTCCTCTATATAGACGACTTCAGGGTCGGATTCGAGGGGGACGCGATGCGTTGTCGTGGCAGCGACTGCAATAAATAAAAAATAATCTATTACGATGGAGTTCTACAAGTATTATGATATAAATTTACGGTCGTTTTTGGCCCGATGGCACGAAAGGTTCTGCCGGAGGAGGAGACAGCAAAATCGATGCTGGTAGCGACAGCTGTGGTGGTGGCGGCGGTAGCCGTGTTGTTAGCGACAGCTGTAGTGGTGGTGTCGGCGACCGCATAGGTTCTGTTAATTGCGATGTCGGTATTATTCTGAAATGAGAGCATTTTATCATTAGCGAGTAGAAGAGAAAAACAACATTTTTTACTTACCGAGTTGGCTCGAATAAATAGTTTGTTGCGGGGTCCCTATCCAGCTGCGCTAACAGTAGGTCCAGTTCCAAATTCTCGCTCAAATGACCCGTGCTGTAAAAAGCGATTACTTTTTAACATAACGAAATAGAGGGGAGAAAATAATTTTAAAAAAATCAAATATTACTTACGTGATTGTCGAATTGTCTGTAAATTGTAATCACTTTATCCAATGGTCCTCCATTAGTGAGTACTGGATCCATTTGCATTAATACGCCAGTTTGCCAGTTGTTGATTGGCAGTTCTACCAATGAAGTTGATGGCTTGGTTTTTTTTTCCCGACTTATTGGTGGTGCAGGCTGGCGGTTTGATTAACATAGAGTGAAGTATATTAACTTTGTTGATTTTCGGCTTTTTCGGGATTTTTCTTTTAAGTGATGACATGATGTAATGTATACCGAGCTCGATGCTAACTAATAATTAGTGGGGAAAAATGTTCAGTAGATATTGTACAATTGTTGTAATCGTTTGCGGAAAACTGGAGAGAGGTTGCGTTAATGAGTGAGAACGATAGATCGTATGATTCTGGGATCAACTTCCCCGCTTTGTTTAAGGTGAAGCTGCGCGTAAGCGTATCCGAACTTTGATCTCGTTCGACATCTTTCTCGTCGTTCACATTCGACCTTTCGATCTCTTGTGATCGGAAAAACTTCATTTCGAGATATGTTTGCCATTTTAAAAGTGTCACCCAATCTTCTCTTTTCATGAGCATAACACTGCCGCATGCGATGCGAAGGATTGGTTCAATTTCTGCGCTGCGTATGGTCATTTTCGTGCAATTCTTGAGTCAGCTGAATTTTGTAAGCTCGAAGGTGAAGATCAACATGTATAATTCGACCCAGAGTTCTTGTTGAAAGGTTTAATTGCTGAGATCGATGGCGAATTAACATGTTTGGGTTTTCTTGCACACTCTCATTCACAGCAGGTTGTTTCGACGTGGTCGAACATGGCGATGGTCTCTATCGTCCTTCAGTGAATAAGTGCGCTCAAATTTTTTGATTAATCTGTCTACTGTACTGCGATATGGCCGGTTATGAACACCAAAATGATTACGTAACTTTCGAATCAACAAACGTTCTTGCGAGGTGTAGCGCGACATTTTTATGGAATGTCAAACGTCAAACATCAAACTTGACAGTTGCCAAATTTGGTGAGTTTACATTCGGTAGTTCAAAAATGGCGGCAAATTTAAAATGTGCGTTAAAAATGCCACACCCTTTAGAACGCGAGACTTCCGATAGTGTGCGCGAATTAGATATCGGCGTGGGTCCGCGAGTGTCACGGCGCAGGGGCACACGTAGAGGTATAGCTTCTCTGGCGTGGCGATTTCCTCTAAGCGCCAGCGCGGGTGCTGGCCTCAAAGTTTGGTCGGAGATGGTGACAATGGTGACACCATCCGGGGTAGCCGTGGTCGTTTCCAGAACTGAGCGAGGACGTTCCTCCGATGCTTCTCCTCCGAGCGCGGTGTCTTCGGCATCCGTGTGCTGGTGGAGAGGAATGTGTTTATGTTTGTCCGCGCTAGAGAGCAGCGGTTTTGTTCGCTAAAGAGCTGAGCGGTGTTGCTCGATAAGAAGCTGAGCGATCTACGCTAGAGAGCAGTAGGTGATTCTTCTTCGCTAGGGAGCAGAAGGCGAATGTTTTCTAGGGCGTCCGACGGGCCTTTTATACCCCGTCGGATGCGTGGGGGTTGCTCCCTCGCCGCGAGGGCGTGCGTCCTGTATTTGCCGCGCTCTGCGTGTGGCGACATCTGCTGGGACGCCACAACTCCATTACTGAATATATTTACATAGGGTTATATATACAAAGCCAATTATTAACTACATCTCTATATCTACTATAATATACTCATAAACTAACCACATTCCAATACGTTGTATTATGTAATTCTAAATATCTAAAGCTAACATCCTTAAAATAATCGCTATTAAATAAATCAATATTATACCTAACTATATTTAAACTATCTACTAAACTACTTATAAGGGTTTTACTTAAAACTAAATCGCTATTTATTTCTTCGATTATTTCTATTATAGTCTCTTTGGCCTCCTCTTCAAACTTAACCAGATCAATGTCCGCTAGTTTATTATGTTTCCACTCCAACTCGGCTTGGACAATGACCGGTAAGTTGCCCCATTCCAAATGCCTGGGTAACATTTTCTTAATGCAGAGGTTATACAGCGTATCGCAATGGGTAACACGCTCCATCGCACGTTTCCGTATACCTTGCATAAAGTCCGTGAATGTTTCCAGCTTAAATGTCCAATTATTAAGGATCCTCAGATCCTTTATAGTTTTGTATTGTCGTCCGTCCGTCCGTGTGCGCTCTAACTCTTTTTAAAAGTGGCCGACTGTGTTGAAATTTGGTGTATGGGTACTTTGGATTTTAAGGACGGACGCTATTGATTTTCAGTACCCTGGTTCAACAGGAACAAAAGTTATAGGGCTTCCAGTGAATCGGGAACAGGAAAAACTGCGGGCTCAATATAATAGAAATTAACATATTTCATTCCCTAGGTCATGTATCGAGTTCGGACTTTCGCTAGATTATTCCCTATGGCTTTTAGATGTGTAATAATTCAATATAACTCATCTCTGTGGTACAGGTCGAAAGTCTTAGGGCAAAATGTACCCAAAATTATTTTTTACACATGAATTGGGAATTTTAAAAGCTTTCTAACGCATTATCTTGATGCTGAAAGAGTGCGTCACGTCGTGCACATTTGATAACCGCATATGTGAGATTCAAAGATGTTAAATGATCTTTCGGAGTCCACATGGATTTTGATCAAAATACGTCAAAATCGTTATTTATGCACCAAGATCGTTGGGAAAAAGACCAAGAGCATTATCTCATTGACCAAAACATGAATTTTGATCTATTTTTGGCAACCACATGGATTTTGATCAAAACATGTCAAAATCGTTTTTCTTGCACTGATATCGTTGGGAACAAGATTAAAAGCATTATCTCAATGACCAAGACATGAATTTGATGCATTTTTGTTAACTATAAAACGTATTTTGTAAGATTAAAATAAATTGTCGTTAAAAGTGATTGTAATACTGAGGATCCTTCGATATTTCGTTGTATCGGTTTATTCATAAAGGACATTCGCATAGCCTCGAAGAAGTGGGAGGCCACTAACAACTCTTCAAAGTCAATAGTATGTCGATCACTTAATGTATCTAAATTGTCTTCACTCAAACTTAACCTCCATGCACTTATTAAATCCGCCATTGTACTCAAACCTGGCCGTAAACGATTTGCACACTGTAAGAATCGAGCGCTACTACTCTACTCTACTACTACGATATACTATAAAATTGGGACAATGTGATAGTGAAATATGTACGGGAACGCGCGCTTTTTCAATGAAAGTATACGAACTCAGAACTTTAGGATTTAATTACAAAAAAAGTATTCACTCAAATGGGATAATGTTTACGTATGTGATAGAATACACCTTTAAATAGACGTCGATACATTTTTATGCATTTCTGTATAATTACGCAAACGTTACAGCGATAAAATGACAGACGCGTTTATTCGCTTATTATAAGATACACTTTAAAAACTTTTGTTCATATCGATAAAGGACAATTACAAATGATATGATCACGGAATAGAATCAATGACAAAAAAATGTGAAGGGCTGCAGGAATTAATATATTTTGAGCGAAAGAGATAAACGCAACACCTCGAGCGGAGTTGGGGGGAAGGTCATTTAATCGCAAAGTTGTACCTTGCAGCAACGTTTCGTATAAAGCGGCACACACGCTAAGTACACGGTTAAGTAATATAGCATGAAATTGTTATTCTGTATTAATCAGTCAACTCATATACATTCATTATCATCATTATCGCTATGTTCTTCGAGATCATCTTCATCAAAGTCGATAACTTCGTCATCACTATCCTCGTCGTTGAGATTTATTACCAAAGGTTCTATGGCGACATCTATTAAATTCTCTTTTTCTCGGTACATATCTTCTACTTTCTTGGCATGGTCAACACAATTAGCCCAAACGCTTTTTGGCACATCTTCCAATGTTGCTTTGCAGAGGTCTAATACGTCTTTAATTTTGAATGTTGTGTTTAGCTTTGCAACTTTATTTTTGACATACGCCCATATCAATTCAATGGGGTTGAACTCACAATGGGCTACTGGAAGCCATAAAAGCTTCACTTTATCCTGTCGAACATCGTTTACCACTTTCTCCAGAAAATACTGTTTTTTGTAATTGTACCTACATGCGAGATAATTGCAAAAGTGAAGGCCTTGTCATTTGATCGAATGTATCGAAGTGTTCTGGTACCTGAACTTTTCGCTTATTTAACCATTCAATTATGTCTGCTTTTCTCCATGCAGTTGTTGGGTTTCGAAATTCAGGATTCAACATTGTATGGTAAGGTGCTTGATCAAGTACAATAACTGACTTATCGGGAATCACCCCCAAGACATATCGTAACCATTCCTTAAAATGCTGTTTATTCATTTCGTCATGATAATCTGCTGACCCTTTCTTCCCAATGAAGCATTTGCTACATCCTGGTAAAAAACCGTTTTCGTTGCCGATGTCAAGTATAATGATCCGTTGCCCAGCTCCAGAAGGTCGTTTGATTCCACCCCTGTACCCATTGATTTCTTGAATGGTTCCTCGATATTGGTTAAAGCTGTCGCGGTTTTCCGGGGTTATATATTCCACCCAACCAAATTTTTTTGAATGGTTTGCGCCACACCATGTTTCGTCTGTAAAAAATAGATTCCAACGCGTTTCTCTATATCTTTTGATGGCGTATAGATATTCGGCTCTTTTAGCAGCTATTGCATTCACTTCCATTAAAATAGGCCTGTTCTCCAATTTGCGATAGATAAAATTTATATCTTTTACCCATTTTTTTACTGTGGTGCTGCACACTTGCGGAAAATCTGGACACTCGTCTTTCAGTCGTTGATAGAGTTCGGCTATGGTTGGAAACCGTTTTCCCATATAAAAATTTAATATTTGTCGTCTTATAACGCCCTTCATAAAATCATCGATCTCTATTTTAGGTCTACCACTTTTTGGTTTTGGTCCTGAAACTATACCACTGATACTTGCTTCATTGGACACCCTTGAACTGTTTTTTCGCTAATTCCCAAGCATTGCGCAGTTCGTTTTGTTACTTGATTGAGCCGAACTCGATCTACACCATTCATTTTTTCTTCTTCGAAGAACCTTTTTACCTTCACAACAATCTCTTTAAACTCCACGGACACATAACGAGGCATTTTATTATTTATTATAGATATAGTGGTACGTCGTGACAACTAAACTGTTAATGTAGTTCTGGATGAGCAATGTGCCTTTATATATTTGAATGTAAGAAAATATTATGAACCACAATCCATTTTTCTGGTTTTGAATAATATATCTGTTTATCAAACACGTGCTCCTGTAGGTACCCACGAAAGAATAATAATGACAATTTACATTACATTGGCCATGACCATCTGTGGTTATTGTATTGTAACGCTCCAGTTAAACAAAACATGTTTGCCGCACATCACACATGAAAACCGCAGGTTATTATTCATCTTGTTTCGTACGTAGAGTATTGGCTAATTTACACAAAAACAAACATCCACAAGTTGTTTTCAGACAATATGTACGCATTTATGACGTTTGCTATTTTATTCATCTTATAAAAAAAGAATGAAGTCGTTTCCTTCAATAATAGCTGCGTTGCAATGTTTTTGCTTTTCCGCTAATTACGCAAAAAGGGAACAAGATATTTCCATAATTTTTTCTACAATAGCTACAGCAAGAATTGGGTTATGTAATACCCGAAATGTATGAATTTTCGTGGAAAAATAAACTATTTATGGACCTGTACAGTTGAGCATCGCGACAAATCACGCATTTTAGAGTACTTTTTTGTGAGGAAAATTCGATAACGTAAAAAGTCCTGGCAGCAAAAATTTACAATTTACGTATGTTAACAACAACTTACCAATTGATACGTTCCAAAAATTTCATTAATATCGGCTCCAGCGATTTTGAGATTTGAGCCTTCAAAGTGAGCGGACTCTACATTTTACGCCGATAGTAGTTGTCGAGAGAGGTCACGAGAGGTCATTGACCTTTGCGGTGACCTTGAACTTGTCCGCTAGGTTATGTAAATATTCATCACTGTACCATCTTCCCAAACCATACACTTGCTCATGTTCAGCGTCAAAACACAAGTCCCTCATTTCCCTATGTAATCTCTGCACCGCCGAATATCCATCATAAGCAACAGGCCAACTCTGCTGACTATAGGTAAACCACATGATAACTACTGTTTCATACAGAAACATGCGCAAAATATACAGGGTGTAAAAAAAGTATGCTGCCAAACTGAAACCTGGATAGTAGGCAACCAGCTGAGCAGAAAATACTTAATAACTGGTTGTCTAATCAGTACCGTTGCGGAACTATGAACCCCTAAAGACGACCAATGAGCGCGCCGTATTACGAATACCGCAACACAGGGATGCCGATGCGATATGTAACCGACTCTTGCTGCGCTAGGCGCAGGGTTCGATTCTCGCCTCGGGCATTTTTTTTTTAAATAATTTTATTTGTGGCCCTGAATAGGGCCGTTTTTTTTTCTCGTTTTAAAGCAAGTGCTCAAAGTGACCACCTTGAACGTCAATGGGTGCGTCGGATTAGACTATTTCGGACTCGCGAAAATCCCTGGATTTTCTCGAAGTTCTCGCGCGGCATCGACAATTCTGTCTTGGAGATCTTCTCGGGTTTCTACGGGGGTTGCGTAGATTTTGTCTTTTAAGAAACCCCACCAAAAGAAATCGCACGGTGTCCAGTCAGGAGATCTTGCTGGCCAATGAACGGGTCCACCCCTACCAATCCAGCGTTCCCCGAAGGTTGCCGTTAGATGGTTTC